CACACACACACACACACACACACACACACACACACACACACACACACACACACACACAAACAAACACCCAAGATCCTAAATCGTAAAGTATCAAGGAATGCAAGTATTCTATATAAATATTAAAGAAGAAAAGAATGTCTTGAGTATAAACAATTAGATGAAAATGATCTGAAAGTTGTCTTTTTACAGTATTTATATTTATCACCCTTCTAGGAATATCAGGTAATTAGGAAATCAGCCCGCTCCCTCAGCATCGTTCAAGTAGACTCTCCATGGAGACTGGGGCAACCATCCATTATCTCTACCATTGTGCTGATGAAAGGCCAGGGCAAGGTGAGTGCTCTCGTTTGACACAAATCCAGTCTGAGTGTCATTGTAGTTTAAATATGCAGCATGTTTTATTCATTTTTTTGTGCTTTCTTCTTTCTGTCATTTGAAAAACATTAAGTCACTGGAAGTGCTGAATTTAGGATTACATTTTATTGAATAATACATGCCAACCATCTGCCTACAGGACACATTGCAGTGTCTTATTTCAAGTTCTCAAATTTTTAATTTCTTTTTCAAAATTACTATCAACATCATTCCTCAATTTCACTAAAAGCTATTCATATGAGGGAAATATACAGCAAAAGACTGAATTTTAACACTCATACAGTTTGGTTTCTAGTTTTAAAGCACTCTGTGCAAAGTAAAACAGTCAGACTGAGAAAACTTTTACCTGTACAGATCCCTGAAATTACTTTAGTTGTAATTTGGCACAACAAAATTATTTATAAATAAACTGAATTAAATGGAATTACTAAAATATGTCAGTCACTATATAAATAATATGTATTTGCAGCTTTTTACAAAAATCTATTTTCTTACAGCACAAGCACATTCTGGGCTCTATATTACTAATGTTTAGAACACAGTTTTTATGCCATTTTAAAGTTTCTATTGTTTTTTATATTCTTGTGCATAATTAGTTTGCTTAAATTGTGACAATTACAGATTTAGGAAGGCAGCAAGTAATTTGGTACAATATTAAGACTGACTTTTATCTAACAGAAAGTAATATGTTTACCACGACCTAGTTAATATACCTGTGCAACCCAAAATGTATGTGGTAAGTTCAAAACTTTACTAAGAACTTACTACACAACAACTTGTACAATTATCATTAAATTAGTTATATATTTCTAGTCTTTGCAAAGTATAGTATATAAGTAGAAAACTTTTTTCAAGTCATATTTTTTATTTTCAACAATGTATTTACTGTATACAGTATATTTAGATTTTATCCTCATATCCTTGTGCTTTCGGCAGAAGATACTCGCATTTTTACCCCCACTTCAGCCACTGAGTGTTTTTATTTTACATAATGACACTACTGAGAACTGTTGAATCAAGAGTAGTAATAGATAGTGATTCAAAGGAACATAAGAATGTTAAAGGGGCAATATCATGTAAAATCAACTTTTTTGAGTTTTATATAAATGGTAAATGGACTGTACTTATATAGCACTTTTCTATCCATCCAGGACACTCAAAGCTCTTCACACTACAATATGTGTCCTCATTTACCCATTCACACAGCACTTTTTTATGTCTCTACAAAGCTAATATGAACAATCATCTATGGAGACTAATCAGTGCCAGTCACATTCATACACTGATGGGACACACATCAGAGGTATTGGGGTTAAGTATCTTGCCCAAGGACACAACAACTGAGACAGCTGGATGGAGGATTGAACCGGTGACCTTCAGGTTCCAGGATGACTCCCCTAGCCTAGTTAAAGGGACAGAGGCCAATTTCAAGGTGTTTAGAAACAGATATGATGAGAAGTCAAGTTTATTTTCTATTTAAACATATAAACAACAGTTTAGTAACAACCGAATCAGAAACAGTTTTATTGCCATTGTCAATGAACAGGATTCACAGACTAGGAACTTGCAGTTTAGAACACCTATTCAAGAAACATAAACATGGGGGAACAGGTGAACAGGTCATTTGCAACCAGGTCGCGCTACCTTTAACAGCTGGAAATACACAATAGGGAAGTTAAATTAAAAAAACATTGCTCTGATCCTATATTCACATCAGAAACACAAGGTCATATAAACAAAAAAACACTCGTGACAGAGCAGACTGGGACAGGGAGGCAGCTTGGGTCAAGTCACATGAGATGGGGTGGGGGTTCAGTTCAGTGGAGCTGGTGGCATTGAAGGTAGATCTCCGTGATAGAGCCCGACACCAGCACCCCCAGAGTCCAGAGTCAATGATGTTATCATCTCCATGCTTGGTTCATCAGAGTTCAGAGTTTCCTCCTTCTCGGCCTTGGGTTCACAGCCAACACGGGTGATGGGGATGGGAGGGGAATCAAGCCCCTGTTGACATAACATCCAGGAGAGTTTAGATAAGCATGGCCGTCGAGGCCAAGCAGCTGGGAGCCAATTAGATAAACACAATTATTTTGGGACAAAGCAACCTTGACTTTTCTGCTGCTTTTACAGTCTTAACTGCATCTCTAAAGTGGCGGGGAAAAAAGTCCCAATAAGACAAATTCTGGGTCCTCTCGCCTCTCACCGTCTGGAGCTTCACCCAGATATAATCCCAAATGCCAGAGGCACGCTCCTGGGCTGCAATTCTTGTCAGAACCACATCCAGTTTGCGGTTTACCTGCCCCAACAACTGAGTCTGTGCACCCCCACTCTGGCAGAGTCCATCCACTGTGCCCGACAGCTTCTCAATGGCCCGGACTGCTGTCAGGATCACTTTCACCTTTTGATAAAACAGGAATCCACCTCCTCCGATCAGTAGAAATCCAGTTATCATAAATCCAAATATATACAAATCTCCCACGTCTTCAATGGAAAGTGGCGCCAGACACATCAGGTTCCAGCTGCCCCAAGAACCACTGATGTGCCCCCGAAGGTGACATTTATGTTTATATAAATCTCAAAATTATATAATTATATCATAATTATATATAATATATATAATAATATATAAATTATATATAATTATATTATTTATATATTTTAAAACTCAACCATCTGCCCTTAATGACTATAGACCTGTTGCCCTGACATCCCACATCATGAAGGTCCTAGAGAGACTCCTGTTGACCCACCTGAGTAAGCAAACAAGCACACATCAGGACTCCCTGCAGTTTGCTTATCGTCATGGAGTTGGAGTTGACGATGCCATCATACACCTGTTTCAACAAACCCACTGTCATCTGGACAAAGCAGGCAGCACTGTGAGGATCATATTCTTTGATTTCTCCGGTGCTTTTAACACAGTTCAGCCTGATTTACTTTGTCTGAAATGTCAGAAGACTCCGGTGGAGGCCTCAACAATCGCCTGGATCAAAGACTACCTGACAAACAGACCACAGTTTGTGAGACTGAAGGACTGTGTGTCTAACCAGGTGGTCAGCAGCACAGGAGCTCCACAGGGAACTGTACTCTCACCATTCCTGTTCACACTGTACACTTCAGACTTCCAGCACAAGTCAGACTGCTGTCATCTACAGAAATATTCAGATGACTCTGCAGTTGTTGGGTGTATCAGAGATGGACAGGAAGCTGAGGACAGAGAGCTGGTTGACCGCTTTGTGGCATGGTGTAGGAACAATCATCTCATCTTGAATGTCAACAAAACAAAGGAGATGATTGTAGATTTCAGGAGAAATAGTATTAGATCAAACCCTGTTTCCATCATGGGAGAAGAAGTGGAGGTGGTTGAGGAATATAAATACCTCGGTGTTCATCTGGACAACAGACTGGACTGGAGACTCAACAGTGAAGCAGTCTACAAGAAAGGACAGAGCAGACTGTACTTCTTAAGGAAGCTGAAATCCTTCAATGTATCTTCTACGAGTCTGTTGTTGAGAGTGTCATCTCTTCTGCTGTCATCTGTTGGGCTAGCAGCATCAGAGCCAGGGACCTAAAAAGACTAAACAACCTGATAAAGAAGGCTGGTTCTGTTCTGGGGACGACTGTGGAATCTCTGGAGATGATGGTGCAAAGAAGGATTTTACATAAAATCAAGAACATTGTGGACAACCCTGACCATCCTCTTCATCAGACTATCATAGAAAGACAAAGTGTCTTCAGTCGGAGGCTTCTTCAACTTCGCTGTAATACAGACCGCTACAGAAGATCTTTCCTGCCCACAGCCATCAGCATCTACAATAAGTTTTTAGTTAAATGAGTTACAACAACAAATTTCCCTCTGGGATCAATAAAGTATTTTTGAATTTGAATTGAATTAGAATTTATTGACTTTAGACATTTACTTGACTTTATTATGGTGTAGAATTTAAGCATATGTCTGAGAAAAACATAATATTGCCCCTTTAAGAACTGTTTTGATGGCAAAATTAGTAGATTCATGCAGATGTTGTTTGATGTAACATTGAGATGTAAATTCTACAGGGTCTTGGATTCAGTATTGTTGGTGGGCAGGACTCAGCGCGTGGTCAGATGGGGATTTTTGTAAAAACTATTTTCCTTCATGGAGCTGCAGCAGCTGATGGACGACTTAAAGAGGGTAATCAAATGTGCTTTTAATTTTACAGAAACATCTCTTGACCTGTTGATGTTTGTTTCTTAGCTGTCATAGTCTGTATTTATTTTCCTTGGTTTTCCTAGTGTTTCTATGTTTCCCCTGTGTGTCTCAGCTCAGCTGCCCTGCATTACCTTGATTTTCACCCTCGTATTTCTCCCCAGGTGTTTTCTGTTTGTTCATTAGGTTTCAGTGTATTTAAGCCCTGTCCTGTCTCAGTCTTATTGTCAGATCATTGTGTTTTGTCTCTGAACTTTGTCTCCCTCATGCCTGTTCCTTTTTGAGATCCTGTGAGTATTTTGAGCTGCATCGACAGCATTTTTTGTTATTTAATAAATCCTTTTTGTCCCATTCTGAACCTGCCTGCGCCCTGGGTCTATTCCTGTCATTAGATGACTTTGCATTGCAACAAGTTTATTTCAATTTTGAACCCCTTGATGACGCTGTAAGGTATACTTATAAACCCTCCTCTTTTGAGACGGGCTCTCCTCCCGCTTATCGGCGCACTCATGTGGCATATGTATGTGTACAGGTTCACCAGTGTCTCTATTTTCTTAGATGCCTTCGACTGTGGTGTTTCTAAAACGATAATGCTGATCTTTTATAGGGCAACCATCGAGTCTATTCTTAGATTTGGCATCACTGTTTGGGTTGGAAATCTCACTGTTAAATAAAAAACTTAAATCCAAAGTATGGTGAAGATGGCAAGTAATATTATCAACACTCCAGATTTATCTACTCCACAACTCCTGTTTGAGCAGGCTACCATCAGGCAAGCTGAGAACATCTTGTCTGATGGGTCCCATGTACTCGCGTCAGAATATGTTCTGGGAGAAGGTTCAGGGTCCCCCTTTGCAAATGAAATCTTTTGAAACATTCATTTGTACAAATGAATGTTTCTCTCTATTAATCTGATAAATGGCAGACGAGCAGGGACTGGACAGTGTGATAGGAGGTCCAGACAATGACTAAGACTAGCATGTAGAGGATGTATTGGGGATGTACTGTTGAGCTGATCTGATATGACATTTGTGGTTTTAATGTATTTTTTTATGCATTATTCATTGTTATTGTCCTTTTGATGAGTTTTATTGCAATTGCTATTGTCATGTTGTAGTGCTTGCCCCTGCTTTCAGGACAAATTTCTCCCACGGGAGACTAAGAACTTATCTTATCTTATCTTATCTTATCTTATCTTATCTTATCTTATCTTATCTTATCTTATCTTATCGATTCAGGAAATTAATGTCTGCCCCATTAATATTTATGCTCACAAGCGGCTATACTGATGAAGTGAAAAATATCTAAACCCCTCCACCATTTATTCCGTTTCAAGGGTCTGAATTCTTTCAAACTCAAAGGCCTTACCTATACAGTGACGAAAGAATTCTTTCAGCTGGTTGCAAGGAGAATTAGTCCAGATCTGATCACATTCTTCTGACAGCCACGTCCTTTTTCATTCAGGAAGTTGATCCATCAAGCAGCCTGCAGTGAATCACCTCTCGAACACTCTCATTAACTGCGATCTTCCACTCTTTAGACTTTTGCACTTGTTTCTGTCTGGATTGGTTTTAGTGGTCTGGAGGTAGACCCCAAGGACGTTGTTTTTAATGTCATTGGGCTAGGACAACCAATAAGAACCTTTGACTTCTAGAACCAGCACATTTGTTTTTTTAACACCATGTAAGAGTCACATCACAAGAAAATACAATGCAATTGAATGTTCACAACTTGTAGAGACTTTTAATTGCTCTTTTAATGAATATTGGCAAAGCAGTGCATAGCATTCAGTGGCTGAAGAAAATTAGGTTACATTTAGAGAAGTCACATCATTCAATGAGAAAAATCTGTCCCTAATCAAGTTGCATTAATTTAGCCATAATATTTGGATGAGGATTGAGGATGTAGGATCTTTCATAACTTACGAGCTGAACTGTCTTTGGTCTTGTGGTTCCAGATTTAATTCACAAGAAGTTCTTCATGATGTCCACTTGTCCGATTACTAGATGAAATTTAGTGATCCATGAGAGGTTTTGGAGTTGATGCTCAAATCTTCAGCTTGCATGCTTTCAGAAATCTTCTGTTCTTCTCATATCTTCAACTTGCAGGTCTTCTAGCAATCTTCTGTTCTTCAGTCTTTCCCCCACCCCTGGCTTAAAGCCAGGGAGAGCCATGTGTCCTCTTCAGATGTCTTCAGGAAATTTCCTCCAAACATCCTCCATTGTTCTTCCTTTTATACACTCAATCAGGCGGAAGAATGGCTTTTTTTTTGGTATCATACTGCTTTAAGAAGCTCTTATTGGTTTGGAATGCATGTCGTCCAATGGAGTGATTCAGAGGTTACCATGACAACGCTTAGCTTCCTCTTTCAATGGTTGCCTCTGTCGCTGACAGGTTCAAATGTCACTTGACGTCTGGAGTAGTTGCAGAAGTTCCTGTTTCCTCACACTCACAACTGACTAAGCTCAAAATCAACTTTTATCACATTAGCAGCCTTCTAAAAATATTTCCCAATAACCTTTATTACAAGATTATTGTACTTTGAATCAGAGTTATATTCATATGTTGTTACAGAATATACAAAGTTGTTACAATGTTTAAACTATGTAAGACCAAAAGCAAAGCATTCTCCTATAATCTACTTTTCTCTAATTGTTTTTGCAATAGTTAAAGGTACAGTCTGTAACTTTTCTAAAAAATACATTTTTAACATTTGTTCACTTTGTCATTATCACCTGACAGATTGATATTGGACAGGTAATCACTGAAAAAAACTGAAGTCCTCTGGCTCCTCCCGGTTGTACTACAGCCAAAATAAAGCCAAGCTATAATCGAAGTGCACCTGGCATTGAATAGCCAAAGAAAACCGAGGTATTTTCGTGAACAAGCAGCCCCCCCACCCCCGTTCCTGCCCGCATCGCGCATCTGTGGCCGCGCACGTTCTCGTTCAGAGAGTCAGACTGCAGCTATGGCTGCTGGCGGATAAACAACCTACCAGGCCAACCAGTAGATCGGGATCTACCGGTAGATCTTTAGCTGTTAGCAGTAGCTCGCGGACCAATGGATCATGGACTTGTAGAACGCAACATTGTTTAACATTGCAGCCTTATACGCGCTCTTCGCAACATTTGTTTAACATTGCAGTCTTCAACGCACTCTTTGCAACGTTTGTTTAACATTGCATTCTTGATGATGAACGAAAGACAGCTAACAAGCAAATAAAAACTTTTTATTTTCACCTGGAGTGGGAAGAGGACTCATGTAATTTGAGCGCTGCCTTGGCTTGTCTAAAAAGGATAACGTGGAACAGCATTTCTTTCAAAAGAATGCACAGACGCTAAGAGGTGGATTTCCCCTCCTAAAGTAAGGCTGCTATGCTAATGCAGCCCCGTACCTGCCTCAACACATGTCTTTCAGCGATGACGAAGTTATGAAAGAAGCATTTGATGCTGCAGATGTGCTTTTCCATGATTTTAAAAGTAAAAGTGAGATTGTGGCTGCTATAAAGACGTGCAGTTGTCCACCAGGATGGATGGATGTGTCCAAATTCGTGTCCGTGTTTCAGTCTGGACTGCTCTGGGTTGAAAATTAGGTTTTGACTCTGCAAAATGACATTGGGCTCAAATCCAGAGCAACAAGTCGTATGGATGGAGAGTTCTGGGGTCTGCGTTCTCTCACATGAAAATCATCAAGTCCAACAACAGATCCACAAAGACTGGTGATCATGTGGAGACCTGCTTACACCTCAACCACCTCATACTGCCTGTCTATGAGACCTTGGCCTCCTCTCAGTGTCAGAAGTCCCACTAAGGTAGACATACATTTTTTTACATTATTTATTTGTACATTATTTTTATATAGCTTGCATAAAAAGTTGTCTCCTCTAGACRTGTCACAATGTGTCTGTATGTTTTTTTTATTACATTTTAGACCAAACTAGTGTCTTATACCCTGACTGGCACCTTTGTGTTATTTATTTATTTTGCAGTTTGGGTGTGCCCTTGTTTTCCATACCTAGCGTGGCTGTGTGTGTGTCTTGTTTATAGGTGGTGAACCAGGTGGAACTCTTTGAACGGTCTGGAGCCGGCAGTCTGGACCAGTGAGGGACTGAGCTCTTCAACACCTACAGATGACACCATCCTGCATGATGCAGATTGAGGTTTGAAATAGTTGTTGGAGATATGTGAATCTGCACCATCGTAAGTCACCTTTTGTAATAGTATAAACGAGAGAGTTTTATATTGTGTACTTTGACTTTAGTTTTTTGTTTTGATTTTCCTCCCCTGTATGGAGAGAAAGAGAGGAGAGTTCTTTGAATAAATGGGAGATGAGTTCCCATGCTCCAAAGTTATTTGGCTCTGTGGTTCTTGCACTGGACAGGTTTTCCAGCCCTCATAGCTCGCACATTACAGGGAGTACTAATTGAAGGAGGTAAAAAAAAATCCTTTTTGTTTGAGCATCACTTTTCTGTTTCTCTGTCAGGAGTTAAGTAAGGATTTTATATTTTCTTTTTTTTTGAAGGTAAATATATGGTTAAGTAGATAGTTTTGTTTGGCAATACTTTAAATAAAAAAAAACTAGCAACACATTACGTTCTGTTTTATTTATTTTAAAGAAGTGAGGAGTAGGGAGACGAAAAAATATTTTTTTCGATACTGAGATTGGACAAGTTGATCTCGGCAAACTGCCGACTTCAAAAGTAGCTCGGTTCAAAAAAGGTTGGGCACCCCTGACCTACACCCTACAACCTGGATTGGCACCTGTTCTAAAACCCAACACAGGGAAACAGAAGACCCAGGAAGAAATCCAAGCTGAAAAGAATGAATTTAGAACCACTGCAGTAAAGGGTGTTTTTCCACTATTAGTCCATGGGCCAGACCCCAATTTTTTGGCCACGGGTACCACTCAAGGTAGTTGAGGTTGCAATACATTGTTTGAAAGCTTGAAATCTCAGCTTTACAATAAGATATGATACCAATCACAGT